AACTTACGCCGTGGGGAAAAGGCATCCGACCGACCGGACATCGTGGCCCGCGTGTTCATGGAGAAACTAAAAGCTCTTAACAAGGATCTCGATGAGGGTGTGCTGGGGATTCAAGCCGCTTGAGTCCATGTAGTGGAATATCATAAGCGTGGTCTTCCCCACGCCCACATACTGCTTATTCTGCGTCCGGAGGACAAGCCCACTACCAAGGAAGACGTCGATAATCTGGTGTCCTCGGAGCTCCCGGATAAAAAGAAGTACCCCGAGCTGTACGATACGGTGATTTCCAATATGCTGCATGGCCCCTGTGGTCAACAGAACCCGAACTGCCCGTGCATGAAGAACGGAATGTGTTCCAAGAAGTTTCCAAAGGCGCTCGCGGACGAAACATTGATGACCCCCGACGAATACCCCACGTACAAGCGTGGTCGCCGTCCGGATGGAATTCTGTGCCATAAGGGAAAAGTATGGGACAACGCGACCATCAATCAATTGGTGGTCCCGTACAATCCGTTCCTGTCGCAGAAATACAACTGCCACATTAAGGTCGAGGTTTGTGCCACGAAAAATACCATCAAGTACATCTACAAGTACGTCTACAAGGGCTCGGACATGACGACAATCACGATTGAAGGCGAAGAAATTCGGGCGAACGAAATTCTTAAGTATCTCCTCGGGAGATATATTTCTCCGGTAGAAGCTTGCATGCGACTATTCATGCATCCAACACAAGGATCAAAACATTCTGTCGTGACGCTACCTATCCACTTGGAAAGAATGAGCATGGTTGCTTATCGCGACCAAACGACGATCCCCCAGCTTCACAACTTGATTAACCGCGGGGACAGATCAATGCTGACGGAGTTTTTCAAGCTGTGCGCGCGTAACCCAGAAGCTACGGTCAATCTACTGTACAAGTTTGTACCGCGGAAGTACAGGTGGACGGAACACAAGACGTGGAAACCGTACAAGAAGTACGTTGCTTCTCTGGGACGCTTGGTGCACGTATCTCCGCAGGACCCGGAACGCTTCTACTTGTGACTCCTCCTGTGTAACCGACGCTCGCCTAAGTCCTTTGCGGATCTTCGAACGGTTGATGGTATGGAACATCCTACATATCAGCAAGCAGCTTTGGCGTTTGGGTATTTGGAAAATGACGACGAGTGGATACATGTCTTACGCGAAGCCTCCGAGGTCAGCATGCCGTACCAGCTACGCCAACTCTTCGGCATCATTTTGGCTTACTCGATGCCTGGTAATGCCAAAGATCTATGGGACAGGTTCAAGAAGGATATGTCAGAGGATTATGCACGAAGCATAGAGGTAAGAGACGCAGACCTGCATAATGTACGCGATGAGGAGGGGCGTCTTCGAATGGCGGAGTACAAGGCGTTAAAGAACTTGGCTGATTACTAGGTTTTGAGCCAAAAGTCCCTCGACATGTACGGCCTTCCTCTGCTAGCCGATTACGACGATGTATCTGCTCAAGTGGACGACCCGGATACAGAGTCGGTTGATGTTGTCCAGCAAGAGATTGACGCGTACCCCCAAAACGAACTGGAGCATGTTGCGGAGCAGGCAGACCACTTGAACAGCAACCAGAGGAATATTTTTGAATAAGTCATTGCTGCTGTGAGCAGACCGGTTGGAAGGGAGAAGCTTTTCTTTTTGGATGGTCCGGGTGGAACAGGAAAGTCGTTTCTACTCGAGCAAATACTCGCTCACGTTCGGATGCAACGTTAGGTTGCCATCGCGGTTGCATCGAGTGGGATTGCAGCCACTCTGTTAGCTGGAGGCCATACCGCGCATTCTACGTTCCGGATTCCCCTCAAACTAACAGAGACGTCGACGTGCAGCCTTTCATGGTAGAGCCAGAAACCCGAATTGATTCGCAGCGCGAGTTTGATCATTTGGGACGAAGCGCCGATGATGAACCGAGCTTGCTTTAAAGCTGTTGACATGTCCCTTCGGGATATTATGAAGAACGAGCTGGAGCCGTTCGGCGGAAAGGTAATGGTGTTCAGCGGTGATCACCGCCGGATTATACATGTACTGAAGGATGCATCGCGTGCGGAGACGATTCGAGCTTGCTTCAAGTCTTCGCCGCTATGGGAGCATTTGCGTCAAGTGCGGCTGACCGAGAACATGCGTGTCCGCACCGCCCCAGACGCAGCCAGTGCGGCTGAGTTAGCGGAATTCTCTAATTTTTTACTTCAAATTGGAGAAGGCCGTTATCCAGTCAACCATGAGATCGGTGATGGCGATATATACCTCCCACGCGACATGTGTATAATTCCAGAACGACGGGTACAAATAATGACCTCTGATGAAGAAGACGCGGATATGGAGCCTCCCCCATGTTTCAGGTTACTCCCTCCGGCGGACGAGGAACACGAGCGAGACTTGTTGAAGAAGACCGACGAGTCCGCAACGTCAACGCACTCATAGATGCGGTGTACCCGGGCGTTGATACGGAGAATTTACCCGATGAATTCTTCGTTGAGCGAGCCATACTAGCCCCCACAAATGCAAGTGTTCGGCGTATCAACGACATGGTTGCGGAACGGCTGTCGGGTGAAACGAAGGAGTAACTCTCGATGGACAGCCTCGAAGGGGTCGCGGATGCAAATATGTTTGAGCAGGAGTTCTTGAGCTCTCTTAACTTCTCCGGTATCCCTCCGCACAGGATTGTTCTGAAGGTTGGAACACCTATCATCATGATTAGAAACCTGAATAGCGACGCAGGACTTTGCAACGGAACGCGGCTTCGGGTTGTGTCACTGCGCGAGAGAAGCATCGAGGCCAGCATTATGTCCGGGTCGTTCAAGGGTAAGAAGGTGTTCATTCCTCGGATCGTCTTTTATAGTGAGGACGATGACAAGGAGTTCCCGTTCAAACTCACGCGTAAGCAGTTCCCCGTGGTTCCAGCGTTCGCCATGACTATTAACAAGGCCCAAGGACAATCGATCCACCACGTGGGTATATACTTGGAATCACCGGTCTTCGCACATGGGCAGCTTTATGTGGCGTTATCGAGGGTGACTTCGAGGAAGGCGATCAAGATTGCTGTAGATCCAGAGGCCATCGATGAGGACGGGAACGTACACACCAACAATATTGTGTATAGGGAGATCTTTGGGACGCGGACTTGGTAGGGCACGTAATACATCTAATACGTTTAGCTTTGATTTCAGAATGTTCTTTCATCCGCCGCACCGCTGCAGAGGCGGACAGCCCACACTACACCAACCAACCATGCCCTAGCGTCCGCGGAGCGGGCACCCAGAGCACTAGTTATCCTGAACTATCAAGGCTAGCACGCTGTCATCAGACGAAACGCTCAGACTTTGGAGCTTTATCATTGGCTGTCGAGCGAAGCGAAGGCCGATCCGATTGTTTGAAATAGGATTACGTAGCGTACATCAGTAAACTCATGTGGCTCACAGTGTACATATGGAGATTTGCACTAGGCTATCCATTAGGCATCGTTTTAATACTATTTACTATTGTAATAATGCATGTCGTTTTTAATATTTGAGTGCAACTGAGCTAGATATTCTCAGGTGAGACAGCTTCTAAAGACGTTTCCAATGCTGCAAGGTGCTTAGCGTACACGTAGGAATGCGTGTTTCCAAGGACATAATATTGAATAGTTTCTGCAAGTTACAATGACTATAATTATAACTACCAATGTTTTGTTGCAGAAATATTAATAAATTATCTGAGTGTGAGGTGGTACATGTACAACAGAAGCTGGCCGTAAGAACTGGCCGTAAGAACAACGCTGTGCTAATAAACGTTGTCACTTGATCCATCAAGATAGATAGTTCTAGATTGAACAAAAAGAGCTCATATGTGTTACTGCTGTGAACCATTGTTTTCTAAGAGTTATTTTGACAGCAAAATCCGATACTACTTAACGGGCAGACGTGACGCCGACAAGGGCGTAGGCTATGATTTTCAATGGAGCGGTAAGACAACAACAAACACGAGATGTGTGAATTATAGTTGGCTAAGTAGACCCCATAAAGAAACGTTAATAAACTTGGAGCATAAATGACGTTTAATCATCCTGGAATCATGGTTAAATTATCAAATAAAAAACCTGCCGTCAACAACAACAACAGCAAGGCGTCTTGCGACACATTATGCAAATACTTTAATCATAACTGGCACAGAAGCGAGTGTCTAATGACTAAATTTTGAATCAGCACAAAATAAACGCTACATGCATTAAAACGTTACAATTTGAATATTTGCTAGCTTTCATTGAGTTTGGTAAGAGAAGTAATCAATCTTTGGTTACTTGCCACTGCCGAAGAAAATAGCAATAAACAAGGAGGGGGGGCGTACACATGTACATAAAAGAACAGCATATACTTAAGGTTATTAGCAAATCAGGTACCACACTTTAACAATTTCTTACAAATGGTATTAATAGGATAAATTATTTTGGCAAATCTTGCGTTTTATCCAATCAGTGCTGAATATCGAATATGGGTCATTTCTTGAGTAGCCTTGAATATCTGCTCAAATTCGCATACTACACTTAACCCTTTCGCGAACTACATGAGCCTGTATTCCATACAAAAATCAGTCATTCAGAAACAAAAGGTCCCAAAATGACCCTTTTTGTTTCTAAGCTCACGCTGCTTTGTCTTCTCGAGCTAAAGGGTGATGTGTCTCTGGCCACCATGTTCTATGCAAAACGTGCTCTTTTAGCCCCTTTTCATACAGATTCCTGATAGGCTAGAACTGCCCTCTCATACTCTGATTGGTTAGACTAACTGACTAGATCTGCAATTTGGCAAATACGTCCAAATACGGCCAACGCCCATCATCACACTCGAGCCGATCAGTCCCCACCTAGCACAACCAACGTCCAAATGAATCGGCCTGTACGGTAGCAGCAAGACTGATGCCATCACGGACGGCAGCTCCACTGGAGCGTGGAGCCTCCACGTCTCGAGATCTGTCCTGCGGTTACCCAACGTGACGAAATGGGCGACAAGGCCACTCTCGCTGATCTCTACGTATCGGTTCAGCACACCTGGTACGACGTCAGTGTCAACCTGCTCGATAACACATTTCCTCGTCTCGCGAGACCTACAAGGAGCTCACAGGCAAGTCCTGCTGCAATGTGGTCATGAGCATCGCACCTAACAGAAGCTCGATCAAGTCCACCTCCAGCTCCTACGCCACCCTCCTCTGCGAGAGTGAACAGTGCTCCGACACCAACCTGCACGCCGAACGATACCAAGATGGACAGCTGTCTCAATTGACTGTCACCGTCAGTTCCGGCGGATTAACGCCAGCACAATCACTATGCACAGTCGGCTACCGAGTCAGCGACTGAATACCCTGACAACACGACTGCGGCCGTTACCACTACCGCCCCGAAGGACCATTGTGACTACAAGTCGGTAACCGCGACTGCTTCGTCCGACAGCACCAATAAAACTCCATTAACCAGCAGCACGTCTATAGCTACGCAGACTTTTACTTCGATTTCAGCCACCCCCACGACATCGACGTCGACTGGCAGCGTCATCGTTCTCAAGCGTCACTCTAAGCTCCAGTTTTGTACACAGCGGAACGGAGGCCGGTTCCACTACCGGTACGAACGGCAATGTGGCGGAGATTTTTTTTATCTACTACCAAAACCGTGTCGGTCAACAACCACGTCACGTCGTCGACGGAGGAGGTTGCCCTGGTGTTCCGTGGTCCTATGAGCATCTACAACGTCGCCGTCCTGAACGCCACCTCCGTCAGCGATAGTGTCGTCGTACAGCCAGAACGGCATCCAGAACAACATGCTCTTTTTGAACTAACTAAGCTGAATATGACACCGCCAGTCTTATCCGAATGAATATTAGTAAGCGCGGGTTTTCCGTCCAACAACACTCCACACCACTACATTCTATCCGATTATAAATATCGACGCGTCACAAAGTGTATTGTTCAGTTGCCCCAAGTTCTACTCAAAAACATCGCATAGCGACAGACGTATCGCATCGTTAGCGAGTATCGTGTCAGAAGTAAGCGTCCTTCGCGCAGGCTTGAATAAAGCAGCTTTTAATCTCATATGGGCAAATATACTTTTTTCACTATGCTAATGTGTCGTACAAGCGGCTTTTGATAGGGAAGGTTACATGTGTTGTTTTCACTATGCAAATTTATCTTCAGTAAGGAATACCACCAACAGTCGGTCAATCACTGCTGGATCTACCGACAATAGGCGATCATGGCGCGCGGCCAGCAAGTGCGGCGAACGTCTACACCCCCGCGAGGCGATGACACACAATCGTTTGTTTCGTTATTGATTAGTTCTGATGAGGCTACGGTCGTAGGCGACGTGACAGCAGCAAGTTGTGGCGACCTAGGTCAGGCTGGAGAAGAGCTGCCACTCCATCGTCAAGATCACCATGACGACGGTGGTCAGGGTAACCATGGTGAAGAACAACGTGCTCGTCATCAGCTGATACCAAGCACACAAAGTGAATTTACACAGCAAACGCAGCTAAGTAAGGGGAGGACAAAAGGTTCTCACAAGCACAGCACTACGCAGACACGAAAGCGGCAGCGAAGTCTTGCCGAACTTATGGATGACGCCACCGCAGATGATGAACCCTCTTGCGCTGGAGCAGCGGGGAAATCTACCGTGGATGGAGACGCGAATCCTGACCCAAACCCTACACGAACGTCTACAACACGCGGCGGATCGAAACGATCGCGTGCCCAAGCAGCACGAAATCACAACGCGCTTGTTTCCCGCGCTTACGTCGAGAAACTAGTGGCGTATTCACCCGTCAAAGAAGTCTGGCTAAAGGACAGTGTGTATTCTGATGTCGGAAGCGCGTATATCGTTGGACGCGTAACACGATTCGACAAAAAAAAAGCCCTGCTTGAAATCCAATGGATCGGCACACAGTTCCAGAAGAAAAGTGAGTACTTAAACATAAGCATAGTGCAGCGCGGCGTTGAAAACTACAGTAACATAATGTCGTCACCATCGAAACCGGCATGGACTGCTCTCTGTCATGCTGATCAAAGCGAGATCGAAGTTCAAGAAGATGCCAGTGACATTGAAGCTGTGGAGAACGAAGAAGAGGAGTCCTTCCACCGCTACAACCCAGATGGGTTTTTCCGTCGTCGATGACGGAAGTGGAGTCAATTGAAAACTTGAAGTTTGACCCAGAAGCACAAATGGAAGCTCCTTCCGATCTTTACGAACATCATGACGGAGGCACGGAGACTAGGATTCGACCGGAATATTGTCATTTGTTTACGCACTCACCTTCGTCGGCATTTTTTGCGTACATCCCTGTCTACTTTTGGTTCGAAGTGGCTCACCAAACTAACAAAGCGATGCGTGAATACGAACGTGAAAACCGTATCACACACCGACCTCTTTTTACGTTGCAAGAAGTGATGACTTTTCTGGGTATTTTGCTTTATATGGCACTGGTGGACAAGGGTGAATACGCTAATTATTGGGGACAGCAAGTGGAAGATAGAATATTGGGTGGCTGCAGTGTTGGGCTCGATAATATCATGCCTCTTGCAAGATTCAAGCTGTTACGAAAGTCATTTTGCTTTAGAGCAATTTCAAAGCGAGCTCGACATTCGGCTAACGTTGCAACACCAATTTCTTCACTGAGGGCTGGACCTAGTGCTGCTTCAGTGAATGACGCTCTCAATGACGATGCGAGCGCCACTGTAGATGGCTCGAGCGTGGCTGCAGCTCAGAGCTCATCGGAATACCAGCGAGAGGGAGTTGAGTCGACTTCAAGGTCGGACCATCAAGTGCATACCGATCATGCTACTAACAACATGCCGATAGCATCGCCTACACAAATATTTACGCAGCAACCTCAAAGTACGCATCAAGCGTCAAATGAAACCAGCAAGCGAAATGCACTCGCTCGGATTCGAACACTTGTGAATTTGATGAAAGTGACTGGCGGAAAATACGTCGAAGTTGGTCGAGATGTTGCAGTGGATGAAGCCAGCGTGGCATGTCGTTCCAAGTTCGGAAGGCGGCTTATCATGTTTAACCCCATGAAACCAGGAGGGAAATACCATTTTCGGCTTTATATGCTGTGTTGTTTTACGACTTGGATTGCTGTCAATTTCCAAGTGCACTGTGAGAGTGATGTATCGGATCGGCTTCATAATATTGCATCCGATGCTGAAATTGAGGAGCTGCGCCAAGATTTAGATGCACTCGCCGTCGTTCGTGGCCAAGTAGTGGAAGTTGCCCGTCCACTGTATCATACCAGTCGGGTTATTAACGCGGATAACTACTACATGTCCGTGCAACTACTTGCTGCATTGCAGCTCAAAGGACTTTACGGTCGAGGGACAGCTCGAAAAAATAGAATGCACTTCCCAAACCATGTCATCCTGAAGAAAACCGAGTGTACAAGAGGAAAGTTTCGGCAAGCTGTGTCGCTGAACCACCAGATGACTGCAGTTTCCTGGTTCGATAGTACCATTGTCAAAATGATATCAAACGCTGACACTTCAACAGCAACGGAGCTAACCCGTCGAGTAGGAAGTACAATGCAGCCTTACCGAGCCCCATCATGCGTATCGCAATACAACAAGCACATGCAGGGTGTCGACTGCCTGGACCAACTGCGTGCGCGATTTTCCATCGCTGATGGACATTCCTTCAAAAAATGGTACAAGAAGCTGGCAATGTCACTAGTAGATGTCGCTAGAGTCAATGCATACATGTCGAGAAAGCTTGTCGTGGATATGAGTAAGGAGAGAGAGCCTCACCGCGCTTTTGTGACTCAATTGGCCGAAGAGCTACTCTCTGGAAAGCACCAAGTGATCGCCGAATGCTGTACGGAAACGCACGTACTGGTAATAGTGTCGATCTATGTGGTGCTGCAACTACATGGAGTATGACAGTGGAAACACCCGATATTGTCGATAGTCCTCAAAAAGTTTGTACTACTGTTTCTTCGAAGCAACTTTTTACTGAGAGCAAGAAACGACGTCAATGCGTGGTTTGTCGCTGGGAACCGCTTACCAACTGTCGTGACTGATCACTGTACGCTGCACAACGTATGCCTTTGTCAACTTCTTCACACCGCCCCAGAAAGACCGTACTTCTGCCAAACAGCACGATGGACGTGCTGGGAGAAGTTTCATAACTTTTACCTGCCTCGAAACCTTTTCTCCGTAAAGGGGAACATTATGAAGGCGTCCAAGCTATACAAGTTGAAGCAGAGCGACTCGACGTTACCTCCCCCACAGACCAAAAAGGGTCGAGCAGCTAGAAGAATTCTTTGATATTATCGATGTAAACATCAATATCTCTCTGTATAAATGTAAACGCTGATGAGGTTTGTCCAGCTCGCAGGTACTTGGATCACGTCCTCTATCTCCCAACGACTACAAAAATCTTTTGTAAAAGCGCTGTTGTGGCGAGGGCACACCTCGCTGGTAAACGCAACGACCCACGCGCTCAACATTAAAAATAACTCTCCGTTGATGTAATTGTTCGTGGACGGCTCAAACTTCAGATTATTCGCGAAGACAATGGTGGCTGTCGAGAACGGTGTTATCGTCGAGATTTCGATTTTGCGCACATCAGCACCATACAATTTCACTTTAGCAAGTGATGGCCACCGTAACGAATTGCTGCTAACTGCATTTGAGCCATGTCCGATGAGCTCGCGGCGAATTTCGACTCCGAGACTTGCTCGAACTGCCGTTTGTAGCGCGAATTGCCCCAATACGTTACCGATACCACAGCCGATGTCAAGAAACACATATTGGGCATCAATAGTTTTGATTTTGGAGATAGCAGCGATAAGACTACTAATAGCAGCTCCCCAGCATTCAACGCCGGGGCTGCCGCAGGATAAATGATATCTTTTCTTGATACATACTGAAAAATGGCTGACATCGTATCAGCTGCTGCATTAGGAGATAGTAAACAGTTCTTTCGTGAATCAGATCGCTGCGTAGTAGACTGCGCCAGCCCAATTGCATCCAAAGGCTGGATAGAGGCCACAGGTAAGGATGCCGGAAAGACCATTACTCCGCTACGTTCCATTGCTTTTATCGCCACCGCCCCATGCACTTCACTAGGATAGGCTTCGATTTGCTGACTTGGCGTCACTTTCTCCGATTCCAACACGTTTTGTGTAGCTACAGGTGCCAACTGGCTGAGCTGTGTATCCATACAAACTGGGCTTGCTGTTGAGCTCAATGTGTTCTCTGGATCTTGTGGTGCTGGAGCAGGCTGCCGAATCTGCAGCACCAGCGCGCTACGACGACCTCGCCGAGCTTGAACCTTAGTAAAAAATGACGGCGGAAAGCTTGTCAGTGTGGTGTAGTGATTTCTCCGTGGTTGCGGATTATCACCCGTCGACAAAGACGTGACACCGCCCAAGTTGTTCAAGCGACGAACCCTCGGTCGGGTGATGTACGGAGACGCCAAGGTGCAAGGGACTCGACGGCGTCACCTCCGAGTTTTCAACAAGTATCGGATACGGCCCTATGTCACTGAATCCAGGCTGTTCTTATTATTAATAATGGACTGGCCGGATTCGCATTCAGCGGACCATCTACGGTACGAACCCTCAGTGGCGGTTGGGATGAGTTCGCGGAATACTCAGCGACCTTTGGAAGACACGTTCACCGTCGGGTACAGGGCGCGGACCGTTAAAGATGCTCATGCGACGGTGCAGACGACGCTTGGCATGCAAGAAGATCCATAACGGATCATTGTTCACTTGATATTTGTATACTTGATTAGGACTTCTTATTAGGAATAGACCCGAAAGGGTAAGCTTAAATACAGAACAGA